TTTTTTGGATATAAATGGTGGCCCTTATACGGTTCAATGGCAAACCGTAGAAAATCTGAAGTCTGAACTCTTCCCCATGTGATATTGTATATAAATATAATCATTCAAAGAACTTCAACTATGTATGTATCTTCTGAATTGCAACTCCTGCAAATTCTGAAAACAGTTTTTGCCATTGAACCATTAGTTTTGATTCCATACCTGTGGCGTCTCTTGCTCCAACTAACAATGAAATTCAGCTAGCAATCTAGCATAATGTTTTCAATTTACAGTAAAGCCTTTTTGTAGGTAATACTCCCAGAAAATTGGCTATTTTCACTCAAATAAACTCTTCTTTTACATATTTGTATATTTTCTTCAGTACATTGCCTTGTTTCTCACAATTTGTTTTTATCTTTGCCTAAAACATTTCCAACAGAATGTCGATTGTTCGCCGGATATATTCACGTATTTGTCCGAAACCTGCCACTGCATTTCGTTACCTTTCATCTTCATCCAGGGATGAAGGGGAACGTTGTGCGGGGCGAGAGAATGTGAGTTCTTCTTGTTTTGATACTTTTTATTAATTGAATGTGTTTGTAATATTTATATTTGTAGAATTTGGGGTTTACAGGTTCCGGGCATGTCGAGGATTCATTCTACGTTGTAGAAATTGGTTTTGGGGGTGAAGAGAAAGTGCCAGATGCATGTTTGGATCTCATAAGAAAAAAGAGCAAGTTTACGAAGATTAAGAAAACGGGAAAGGTTATGAAGAAGAAGCACAGTCCCGACTGACCTGATGTGAAATGGAGGGTCCTTTATCCCCACGAGAAGATTGATCGCGTCGGCGATACTGAACAATTTTTTATGGGAGCTCTGGATATCTACCGCGTACCTGATTTTTTTACTAACTTTTCTATTTTAGGAACTTATTAAATAAAATTATATTTATCTTCCCCTTTGTATTTATTGCTTGATGCGATTCAAACTGAATAGCAACGCTTTGGAGTTATGATGCATCAAACTAGTAGAGGGAGGCCACGAGACATCATCTCAACAATGATGTATAGGACTGGGTAGGTATAATAAGTATAATAATAGTATGCAATATGCAAATTGCAAACTGTATTTCTTTTTCAGTTTTTTCTCACATAGCTATTTTAACAATTTGTTTTGACAGAGAGAAATTTATTGGGATCGACTTGAGTGGCATGCACTGTGCCATATTGCTCATTGAGTATGTTATGACAATGAAGTAGTGAATTTGTCATTTGTAACAACAAATATTTAGTTCTTTTGCTTATTATGTGTTTCTTGATGTTGTTACGTAGCAAGAGGGTCGTCTCTTCCGTCATATTTAGGGTAGTAGGCACAGACTTGGCGGAGGTTCCTTTGGCTGCAACAAGTGCGCAAGCTGAAGGACAGGTACTTTTACAGTGTGTGCATATTAGAACACTTTACATTCATTATTTAATTTATGTTGTTGATATGCAGGGATATTTTCAGGCGCTTTTTTGTTGTTTGAAGAAGCTATTAGGGTCCCTTGCAGTGAAGAATGTGGTTGTTTCT